AGCTCATTTTTAAAATCTTCTAATAAAGGTTGGTACGCCTCTAGTAGCACCTAATGCAAGCCTCTTGTCATCACCTTGATGGATCTTGTCATTGTTTGTTTTGGCTTCTTTGAGAATCTTCTTTGTTTTTGGATATTCCTCCACATTGCTAAATATAACAGAAGGGGGTTTGATCTCTCTTGTAGTGTTTAATCTTTCTTGTAGTGCATTTATCTGCACAGATTTTGCAATTTTTCTCACCCTGTCCTCAGGACTTATTTCAGGTGACATACCTGCTCTTCGCTTTTTGCTTTTTCTCTTTAGAATCCAATCGGTTTCTCGAGCCAGATCCTCCTCATCTGTGTAGTATTCCACTGTGTTTGTCGTAACTTTTTCCGTATTTATTTCTTTTATTGCATTTACAGTGCTTGTTTCCAATTTTAGCTTATTATTTTTCTCTCTGAGATACTGGATTTCATTTTTTGTTTACAAAGCGCTTCTAGCTCACTCATTCTTATATTTAAGTGGCAGTTATCAGTTTTCTGATCATTTTTAACTGCATTAACTGCACCCATATTGGTATTTTTTTGTTTGTCGCCTTTGGACATATTTTCTTTGCCTTTACAACATGGTCGTGCCCGCATGACCCGAGGTGCTCTTTTAAAAGGGTCGGTAGTGGTAGTTTGATGCAATAAGTGGTCTCCCGCAGAATCCGTAAGACCATCCTTTGAAGAGTGTGGATTTTCCAGATTTACTAGATTACCATCTCGGATATAAAACCATTTGTTTTATTCACTGCATTGATTTTGTTTTATTTCGGAGTTTACTTCTCCTAGCTTTTGACAATAAATACCTCGTGCAGGGTAGCACGCCCAATTTCTATCGTCCCTCAGAGATCAGTCGCAGATCAGACAGCCGTCCATTCTGGATCAGACACTTCTGGATTTGTACTGGATTTTAGCGAACTCTTACCACAAGCATTCCTACTTCAGGTATTTCACACCCCACCTGCAGGCCACGAAAATATATACATAATTTTCAAAAAATTAGTTTTCAATAATTCAAATTCTAATTCACTAATTCAAAATTAACTATTTTGAAAAATTAAAAAATTGGTTATAATCAAAAAATGTGTCTGTTTACAAAACTTCTAACCTTGAAGATAGAAAGCAGAAAATTTGTAGGTATATAGATCTTTACCAGAAACTTACTTCTGTAGAAAAAAATTTCTACCTATCTTCCCCCTGTAAAACTTATTTTCTCTCAAAAGCCTAAAAATGCCATTTTACACATGTTCAACAGCGTAACCATAAACATTTTTCTAATTGTGCAAACGCAGAAAAACAGTAACTTGCTCCTTCTATCGTAGCATACCATATTTAAACTTTAAAAAAACGAAATGACAATTAACATTTACCATGATCAGTTTTTCCCAAGCTTTTGATGGTTCCAAAAGTCTAAAATTTTAAGCTTTTAGACACTTATAAGGACTTTATTTCGTTAGTTAGTTACGACCATTCGCAATTTTTTAAATTTGAAAAAAAAGAAAGAGAACTTTATGATTATTTTTTATTCTCCAGTAAGTACTCTTAATTCACAGAGAGTAGATTACTTTTGTTAGTAAAAACACTAACAATTGTTGTACAGCTAATGTTTGGACCCCGATTATAAAAATTGAAAAAATTTTTTTTTGTTCGTGTTGAACTATCTTAAATTCTTAACGTCTTCGATTTAATATAAAAACTGCAATGGGACTCTGCTACTGAACAAAATTAAAAAAGAAATTCTTTACTCTTGCACTAATCTTTTCAGCAGAATGCAGTTTTGAAAGTTGTAGGTCAACAGGAGATACTATATTAATGTTTCCTCATTAAATTAATTCATTTTTTTTGTAACATTTTCAGTAATTTATAGGAAATTTCTAAGAGGTTTCACAGAATTCTGATTTTGTCCTTCCTGATATACACTAAATCTTTGTTTTTCTAAGAATTTTTTAGTAATATTACCATTTTTACCGACCGTATTGTGTATACAATAGGTAGGTTATGTTTGCATATCGAGTTTTCGATGGGAATGCACTTCACCATAGTAGAGAACTGTAAATAAACTATTTTTAGCAACCGGTCGGTCCGTCGGACTTACTAATGTCCTAAAATTTGGAAAGAAGTATTTAACAGATATTTTTATAATATTCTGTAACACTTTCACTTAACTAGACAATACACAGTGCGGTCGGTTATGTGCTGACCACATCAGATTTTTTTTATTTTATTTTCTGCTATTTTTGCAAATCAATATTGCAATAATTATTGTATATTCATTTATGAATTTGAAATTTGTTTTTGATTTTTATTCAAAAAACATAAACTGATTAAAAGTTCCATAAATAAGTTAATATATTTAATTTTACTATAGCTTACTAGAAATTTAATTTGTAACAAACACATTTTAGCAATGGACAGTTCATTTACATATGTATGAAATTTCTAGTTTTTATATTCAATGGTATACAAGCTTTGTAAACATGTCCAAACAAGGGCGAACGGATAGACAGAGCGAAACTAATAAGCACTTTTTTTAATTTTTTTAAAAAAGTGCTAAAAAGCAAAAAAACTTCTAACTTCCAAATAATCTTTGCAACTGACATTCTGAGCGACATGTAACCTAAAACTTAATTGAGAAAACGAAATCAAAGTAAGGGTATCTCAAAATTCACACAAGATCTAAATTTCGCGCCAAATGTTCGATAAAGCCAGTCAAAGCAGTGTGACATAAGAACAACGCACTTTTATTGCTGAAAATTATTTCATCCACTACGTGTCACTCTTTGGTGCGGATTTTGCTCGAGAAATAATTCAATTACTTCCTTTATCTACAAAATTAATCATACCTTGCACTTCGGGTGTTATTAACTTTATTAAAAGGGTATATTAACTTTGGTATGGAGTTTGTAACTACTTGAAGGAATCATCTGCGGTATGGACATATATATATATTCTTGCTCAGCGTAAAATTCTGCGTTGATTTAGACATGTTCGTCCGTTCGTCTGTCCGGTCGCACGATAACTCAAAAACGAATAATGCAATCGACACCAAACTTTCGCAAGTTGTTTCTTTTGTGCTAAGGACGAACCCTATTGTAATGGGACTACTTCGGACAACGGGTTCGGGTAACTCAAAGAGTTTATTTTAAATATTTCAAAAACCAATAAAGGTATAAATATAAAATTTTGTACATATAATACATATGTTCAATTATGCTCTAAAAATTTTAATAGGATAGCTCCACCGCTTCGGGTGGCTGCCATACAACTCCAAAAGCAAATTTTTTATATTCGGAAAAATAATAAAGTCAGATTCATGAAACTTGGCAGTAATGTGTTCAATTATAGGTCACATATATTTCTGAAGTTTTAGTGAAATTCCTTGACAAGTTCGGGTACCTGCCATACAACTCCAGAAGCTAATTTTAAATATTTGGAAAAATAAAAAAGTCAGATACATGAAACTTGGCAGTTGTGTGTCCAGTTATAGGTCAGATATATTTCCGAAGTTATGGTTGAATTGATTGACAGGTTCGAGTAGGCCCATACAAGTCTAAAAGCTTGTTTTAAATATTTGGAAAAATAATAAAGTCAAATTCATGAAACTTGGCAGTTGTGTTTTCAATTATAGGTCAGACATATTTCTGAAGTTTTGGTGGAATTCCTTGACAGGTTCGAGTAGCTCCCGTACAACTTTAAAAGCTAATTTTAAATATTTGGAAAAATATTAAAGTCAGATTCACGAAACTTCGCAGTTGTGTGTCCAGTTATAGGTCAAACATATCCGTGAAGTTTCTATAGAATGGACTGAAACGTTTTTACTTGTTTTTATTTTCAGTTGATAAAAAAATATTAGAAAAATCGAAAAAAAAAATGTAGCAATAAAAAACATGTCACACTTTAAAATAATGTTTACTGTAATACGAGTACACAAATAATGTCAAAAAAAAAAACAATTTTTACTATATTTTATAAAGAAATAAGATACGAAAGTATACCCGTTGCGCATATATGTAGATGCGTATCCCTTAAGCATATAAAAAATGTGATGTTTTCAGCGCATAACTAGTCACAATATTATAAATACAACAGAATATTATAAAAATGCCTTTTAAATACTTCCTTCCAAATATTAGGGCGATGATAAACTTTTTGTTAACTAGAAAGATGTAAATTTGGCTCGCTTCGTAATAGAACTTCGCTTTGTGCTATTCGATTTCTCTGAAATGCTCGCCGGTAGTTTCGGTAACAACCAGAGCTCAAATATTAAATTTGAAGAAATTTCATCAATTAGTTCCATAGATATGATAAAAAATGTAAATTAAATGCAAATATTTACACTTCCCTATCACATATTTAATGAATTATCCTTTAATAATTTAGTTTATTTATAGCAGAATGTAGATTCATAGAGTTATTTATCTATAACATTATTTAATCTAAATATTGAAAGCCTACAAAAATGCTACATATTATCTGTATGCAAAAAATATTCATTAAATATTTTTTGTGAAGCCAAGAATATAGCAACAGTCGTCTGCTTATGTAAAAATATGCATTTTAGCTGAAAACTCTCGCAATATTATATGCTATCTCTAATACTTTATTAATTTCTAATTTGTACTAAAGTACAAATTAGCCAAAGTGAAAACTATCTCGGTATACAAACTACAATTTTAGAAGGAAAAAATAAAGATTGTCGATTTGATTTGTTTGCAGAAAACTGCAGTTATATAAATTTATTATCATTTAAATGAAATAAAATTACAAATCAAAAAATAACTGAAAAAATAGAATGTTGTATGATGTTTTGCCACTTTTTACTTTGACATCAGCGAGTACACATAGCAAATTACATATTATGTTTTAAAAATAAGTATTCGTATCCTTCTACCTCTCTTTTATGTTGTCACATTAAGATAATATGTTTCAAATTAAATTAGAACAATGTGTTTAAGATTGTAAAAGAATGAAAACATGCGCAATGATGAAAGTTTTTTGTTATGTGAAGTAATATTAAGTGTATATTTACAACACATTAATTATATGTATAAATAAAATGACAAAACTGTATATTGTACATATAGTGCAGTAGTATTCATACCTTAAAATAATTGTATGTATGTATCAAATACATGTACATACATATGTATGCAAATATTTTTTATATTCTTTATATGCACGAGTCTTATGCACGTTCAAAAGCAAGTGAATACAGATCTCTAAAAATTCACATGAGCAAAACTATAAAAGATAATGCTGTTTATCAACTAACTATGGAAGTCTCTGGTATCATTCTGATATACAAAAATGCATTGAACACTTTAAATAATAAAAAATGATTTGAGTAAGCTTTAAGTTCAGAGTACTCTAGAATTGTAGAAATACGAATAAATTTAATTTAATATAAATGAGTGTAAAACGAACTATCGAATTTCATGATGCTTTCTTAAATGACTTTACTAGTTGACGTTTTCTAGCTTACTTTTTCAGAATATTGCACTTTCAAAATCCAAAAATCTTAATAATTTGTTTTCTTTCAATCTCATCAAAAAATTGCTACATAGCATTTTACGCTATGTTCAAAGAAAATATATTAAGTTTACGTCAGCAAAACTCGTACTACGTACGAAAATTTTTTCCCTAAGAAATAAATATCCCCCTTATGCTTATACATTTATTTAAGCCTAATTTAACTAGTCATTAGGAGGTTAATTAAACGCTGATCACGTGTTAGGCAGTTGGTGGTTAACAACTTTAATAAAAAAATTTTTATTTCAAAATGTAATAAACCAAATCTAAATTAAAAACTGTTACCACCCCTTTTTCCCACATTGATTGAGAAGGTTAATGTGTTTCTATAACAAGGTACAACATTCAACAATAGAAATGTATGTACTTATATGTGTATATAAAATAGGTATATTTGTGCGTATGTATCTGCAAACATCTCGTTATTTAAACAATTTGGCAAACTTTCTCTTTGTTGAGTTTATTTTATCCTCTTAACTGCCCCGTTTAGCATATCGTTAGTTTGCTGATGACATTAGAATTCCTTTTTTTTAAATGACGTGCGTTTAGGTTATAATTATATGAATGTATATCTTGTATATGTACACATGCATGCACACAAAAAACATAAGAATATATGATACATGTTATTTTTCCGTTCATTGTTTATTTTTATAAATAAACGATTTATTATTTGTTTACAGACATTATTGATTGGTGGATGATTTTTTGTACATAAAAATGCTCAAACATTACAATGGGTTTTTATTTCATTTTCTGATTAAGACAAAGTGAAATAATGCAGAGCCTGTAATTATTTAGTTTTAAAATAAATTACTTCTTATGCCAATGTAATAACCAACTTACCATTGAACAAGTAAAAACGTTTCAGTCGGTATAAACCGATTGAATTATACCCTGCACCTTTCGTTGTTGTATAGCAATTACTCAAACCTGTGAAACCATTCTATAGAAACTTTACGGATATGTTTGACCTATAACAGGCACACAACTGCCAAGTTTCATAAATCTGACTTTATTATTTTTCCAAATATTTAAAATTAGCTTTTGGAGTTGTATAGCAGGTACCCGAACCTGTCAAGCAATTCCACTAAAACTTCAGAAATATATCTGACCTATTATTGGACACATGACTGTCAAGTTTCATGAATCTGACTTTATTATTTTGCCGAATATAAAAAATTTGCATTTGGAGTTGTATAGCAGCCACCCGAACCGGTGCAGCTATCCCATTAAAATTTTTAGAGCATATGTAGAATATAATTGGACACATGTATACAAAATTTTATATTTGTACCTTTATTAGTTTTTGAAATATTTAAAATACACTCTTTGAGTTGTATGGCAGCTACCCGAACCCGTTGTCCGAATTAGTCCAATAACAATAGGGTTCGTCCTTGGCACAAAAGAAACAACTTGTGAAAGTTTGGTGTCGATTGCATTATTCGTTTTTGAGTTATCGTGCGATCGGACGGACGGACGGACGGACGGACGGACGGACGAACGGACATGTCTAAATCGACGCAGAATTTTACGCTGAGCAAGAATATATATATATGTCCATACCGCAGATGACTCCTTCAAGTAGTTACAAACTCCATACCAAAGTTAATAAATACCCTTCACGAAGTGCAGGGTATAATAAAAAGGAAATTATTTCACTTTACGGAAATCTGATTTTATATTTACTTGAGCTTATTGAAATCAACAAATAATAGCAAGCGAATGTATCACGTTATTTAACGAAACAAATGAGTTACGTTATTAGATAAAGTTTATTAAATGGAAAGATAAAAATTTAGGTTTTCGAATTTAAATTCGATATAGAAGTGATTTCAAATGTAAAATTTCATAAATTTTCGTATAACTCGTTTTACACTCAGTTCGGAAGCTGTATACTTATCTTTATGAAAATATGAAAAAGTTCTTGAATAAAGCTTAGAGGGGGTATACAGATATACTCGTTTTCGAGCTACAGCCTGTTTAAAAAAAACGTATCGGAATTTTCATGCATATAAATAAATGCAGGATAAATAACTTCATAATCATAAGGATGATCATATTTTACAGGCGATTGACTGATTTTAACGTCTAACCACTTAAATTTAAGCTTAAGTAAGTAGGAAGAATTCTGTAGAGAGAATTTTACAAGCTTCAAATAAAGTCTTGAGAAATTGTTGGGACAAAAAAAGTAAAAAAATAAAAGAGAGTAAAATTGGAGTTTTCGTAAAGTTCGAATGTTTGTATTTCCAACAAAACATGTAAAACTAAATAACCAACTATTTTTTGTATAAATCCCTATTAAAACTCTTTCAAAAACCTGTTTGTTTTAAACTTCTATCTAATAATAATTAATGGAAAACTATAAATTTTCAGAGTAAAGTGTGAATACTGAAAAGCATTTAACGTAACGCAAAAGAAAAGGATATTTTTGCATAAAATATTCAAAATATACCTTAATTAAATATTTAAAATATTTATTTTGTATTCATATCTAACTCAAACATTTTACAGTATAAGTACATACAGATACGAGTACATACATAAGTATATTGCTTAAATGTTATTATTCATTTTAGAAAAGATTCGGACTTTATTGAAGGAATATATTCAATTTTTGCGCTATGGAACATTCATTTCTTTTAAATGAAGTTAAATAGTGTATATAAATATTAAATAAGAAATTAGAAATATTTTTCTATTTTATTTAATAGATCATTTTAATCTTAATTAGTTCTACGGCGTTCCCAGACGTGCATGGGCGTCTTAATGATTTTTTTTAACTATAGTGATAAAAGATTAAACAAGTAAAAACGTTTCAGTCGGTATGAACCGATTGAATTATACCCTGCACCTTTCATTGTTGTACTCGTATAGCAATTACTTAAACCTGTGAAACCATTCTATAGAAACTTCACGGATATGTCTGATCTATAACTGAACACACAAGTTTCGTGAATCTGACTTTATTATTTTTCCAAATATTTAAAATTAGTTTTTGGAGTTGTATGGCAGGTACCCGAACCTGCCAAGCAATTCCACTAAAACTTCGCTAATATATCTGATCTATAATTGGACACACAACTGCCAAGTTTCATGAATCTAACTTTATTACTTTTCCAAATATTTAAAATAAGCTTTTGGACTTGTATGGGAGCCACTCGAACCTGTCAAGCAATTCCACCAAAACTTCAGAAATATCTTTGACCTATAATTGGACACACAACTGCCAAGTTTCATGAATCTGTCTTTATTATTTTTCCAAATATTTAAAATTAGTTTTTGGAGTTGTATGGCAGGTACCCGAACCTGCCAAGCAATTCCACTAAAACTTCGCTAATATATCTGATCTATAATTGGACACACAACTGCCAAGTTTCATGAATCTGACTTTATTATTTTTCCAAATATTTAAAATAAGCTTTTGGACTTGTATGGGAGCTGCGCTAACCTGTCAAGCAATTCCACCAAAACTTCAGAAATATCTTTGACCTATAATTGGACACACGACTGCCAAGTTTCATGAATCTGACTTTATTATTTTGCCGAATATAAAAAATTTGCTTTTGGAGTTGTATGGCAGCCACCCGAACCGGTGCAGCTATCTCATTAAAATTCTTAGAGCATATGTAGAATATAATTGGACACATGTATACAAAATTCTATATTTGTACCCTTATTAGTTTTTGAAATAATTAAAATAAACTCTTTGAGTTGTATGGCAGCTACCCGAACCCGTTGTCCGAATTGGTCCAATAACAATAGGGTTCGTCCTTGGCACAAAAGAAACAACTTGTGAAAGTTTGGTGTCGATTGCATTATTCGTTTTTGAGTTATCGTGCGATCGGACGGACGGACGGACGGACATGTCTAAATCAACGCAGAATTTTACGCTGAGCAAGAATATATATATATGTCCATACCGCAGATGACTCCTTCAAGTAGTTACAAACTCCATACCAAAGTTAATATGCCAACTGACCATATCAATTTATGACATATCAATAAAACGTTTCTAAAATATTCTGAATAATTTCTGCTTTTTATACATATTTGCAAGTTACATACATACATATATGCATACATACTTAAATTTTATTGTATAGACCCTTGTTACTAAATACTTACATAAAGTTTCCGTATATAACATCAATGTATAATTAATTTTCTTTTTAGGTTTGGTTCCAGAATAGAAGAGCAAAATGGCGAAGGCAGGAGAAATCAGAAAGCTTACGTTTAGGTTTATCTCATTTTTCGCAACTTCCGCATCGGCTATCTTGCAATGGAAGCATTTCTGTAGACCCTTGGCTTTCACCTCCACTGTTGTCAGCTTTACCAGGCTTTTTAACACATCCACAGACCGTTTATCCGAGTTACTTAACACCACCAATAAGTTTAGCTCCCAATAATTTGGGAATAAAACATCCTGCCTCAAATGGACAACAAAATTTAAGAGTTCCATCAAATGTTGCTATGTCGGTCCACTCAGCTAACATGCATATTGCACCATCGTCAATTACTTCTCACATAACTGATCTAAGTTGCCAGAATAACTCACCAGCGGCACAAAACACAGTATTACATGGTATAGAAATTTGTTCAGTGCAACATTTACAACAGCAATCATCAATTGACTTGAGCTGTAAAGCTAATATATCAACTCAAAATAACAATTTACATGCGTCTTCACCACAACTAATATCAGACTCAACGTCACAATTTTTACCTGCTACTATTGAAAATATTACGCAAAGCACAGCGCAAATTTCCACCATAGGTTTAAAGCGATGTCATGAAGAGCTTTCAGAAGGCAATTCCGTCCCGAGCAAAAATGACAATGTAAAAGATTTTAACACAACTAATTCAGATATAAGATCAAACTCCATAGCGGTACTTAGAATTAAGGCTAAAGAACATCTTGAAAATATGAGCAAAGGGCTAGCTACATAATGAGTTATTAAATTCACAGTTTTTTCATTTTTTAACATAAAATAAATTTAATGAAGAACATGTGATATGTACACATTATCAGCAAATATACGTATTGGCATTAGCGAATACAAACTAATTAAAAGCAGTTTTTAGTATGAATTTTGAAACTTTGCTTAACATTTTGAATCAAGGTTAGGTTCCTTATATAAAAGCAACTTAATCTGTGAACTCATTACATGTTTCAAAATAAAGTCGCTGTTAATTTAACATGTCAAGCAACATTTGCTACTGAAAAGACTTTAAAGATATTAATCATATAACAATCATAGCGATAGAAATAACTTTTATCAACGTTTCTTAAAATGTTATAATATATCAGCATAAATAAACAAAGTAAAATAAGTATCTTGAAAATAAGTCTTTCGTTTTTTCTACATTTTGCAATTTTATGTGCCACTCTCAAAATTAGAACAATAGAAATTATAAATTTCTACAATGCACTGAATATTGAATACACAAAATTTTATTCTAGTAAAGCAATATATTTATCATAATCCATAAACTGTTTAAATTGAAACTATTTCAAGTCGCTAGGAAAACTTGGAACGGTTGCGGCAATGGAGGTGATTTTGGGACCAACTCTTTTGCACCACGTTGTCAAGATAGGAAGAATTTGAATCGGAGTGATCGGGGCGGGGGATCTAGATTGTCTTATAGGCGAGGTTCGAGATTGTCTTATCGGCGAGATTGTCGATGCGCAGCGACGACATTGCTGAGCAACAGTTGCGACCGGGAGCATGACTTTTCAAGATACCCAGTGGGAGCACACGGCATCAGATGGTATTCTGAAAGGGGTCGAAAACCAGTGCGGGGACGGATGCAGGAGTGTTTGGGCCAAGAACCAAATTCTTCGAACCTTAGAAAATTTTTCCGAATGTATTTCAGGCCGGAGTGCATGTCATTAAATTGTGCGTGCAATTTAGCCTTGAAAAGAGGTATCGGGGACAGGAAATAGGGTAGATGGCGGTTCCATCGAAGCGTTTTGGGTCCTTCCTCGGCAGTGCGGAGCTATCTTGCAAAGATCAATGAATTGGGTAGGCGCAGCCGGATCACTCTATGCTGGGTACCGGGCCATATGGGAGTTTAAGGAAATGAAGCAGTTGATGCGATGACAAGGAGGCAGCAAACTCACCTATTCTTAAGCCGGAACCCTTCTGTGGAATCGGACCGCAGAAGAGGGTCTCGAGTGTGTGCTGTAGGACATGTACCGGACCCGCTACAGGGTGTGGGCAGCGCTTAATAGACCTTTATACGTGGTCACGGTGCACTGGTACCTCGTTTGAACAAATCTAGAAAATCCACAATCTATTTCAAGTCGCCGTGTAGAAGAACAACTTCTCTAAAAATTATCCAAAAGGAATTTGATCAAATATTTGGAAAAGAGAATCGGTGTAAAAACCTGGACAAGCGGAAAACCTGTTTAAATGAAATTAGTTTTCTAGTGGCTTGAATTTTCCAGCAAAGTCTTCTTATGTACTATAAGTGCAATAAAGTTTGTGAATTTCGCGCATCATTTAAGAGGAATTTTTTTTCTTGTAGATATTTATAATATCTACTATTTGAAACACACAATCACAAGAACTTATTAATACAACATTGCAGTTGTGAAATTAATAAGTAATGTGCTTATTACACTAATACTTTTAACTTAATGGAAATAGTGTAATAAGCACATTACTTATTAATTTCATAACTACAAAGTTGTATCAGTAAATTCATAATAATATTATTTTTTTTTGCTCGAATAAAATTTATATTAACATTATTATTTCTGACAATTTTAAAAATGTAATTTTTTGTCCAACTATTTCTTCGACGCTACAAGCTCAATCGCACTTCTACATAAAAGCAAAAATTTAACTTAGTAACTAATATTATACAAAACTATGATAATCTAAAGTCTTAACTAAATTAATCATCGATACAATTCAAGTGCTACACTATTTTAACTTTTTGGTTTCTTAATAGTTTTTTGGTTTAAAACCATGGACAACAAAAAATTTTAACTTCTTAGATGAGAGTTGGCTTATTTCACACACTTAAGATGAATTTCATTTTATTATTATATTTTCAAAAACTGTTATATATTATTTTCTTTATTTATTTAGACAATTCAGCAAAAACAGATATACGAAACTATCTATCTTGCGGTTTATATCGGGTTGTGGAGATTTTGGGAAAAATTCTATGAAAAAAAATTTCGCTATTTTCGGTAACACCTATTTTTTAATATCACTGTATATTACTGTATATTATTCATTATAATGCTCGAAGTTAATAGTTAATTAAGTGAGTTTAACATGGAATTAACCATTAACTTTTTATGTTTATCTGGTGGAAGTTTGAAAAAATTTTCTTCTAATGAAATGAAATATTTATTAAAATTTGAAAACGTTAATAGCCCGGGGTTTAGAGGAAAAACAACATCAAAAATTTGGAAAAAAACGGTATTTAGAAAACGGATTTTAGAAAACGGTAAATTTTAACGGTCGTTCTGTTTTTTTAAAGTTTAAACATAGTATGCCGCTGTAGAAGAAGCCAGCCACTAAATTTCTGCGTTTACAAAATTTGAAAAGTACTAATGGTTTCACAATAAATAGTTAAAAAATGCCATTTTTAAGGCTTTAAGGGGGCATAACTTTTAGAGGGGGGAAGATAGGTAAAAATTATCTGTGGAAATAAATTTTTAGTAAAAAGCTATATACATATAAAATTTCAGCTTTTATCTTCAAGGGTGTAGAATATAGTAAATAAAATTGACAGAATATTAAAAATTGGTCACAAACAAAACGCACAAATAAAATTCTTCTCATAATTCTGGACTAAAACATCCACTTCATCCTTCGTGGATTAGAGGGTTCCAGGCAAAAAGGTTTAACCCACAAATTTATCACAATTTTATTTTTTAATTTGTGTATAGTTATTTATTTTTTATGATTTAAATGTTTTTTAAATTACAGAAATGTTTTGTTTAAGTGTTAAAACTCTCGAAGAGAGGTTTGTAGGAAAAAAATTTTATGGAGGGGGACACTCGAACATCTAGTTTCGGTTGAAGAAAATCAAATTCTGTCTTTCCAATATCCATAACAGCTTCGAAGTTCTTGCAGCTAGAGCATTGTCTTGCTACATTTTTCCGCAAATAAGAAATGTACATTTAACGAAATATGAAAGTAATTTTGGAAAAAGAGTAGACTGAATTGGCAATTATAAACACTTTCTACTAAAACTTGGTTTACTTTATTTTAATTTTTGTAATAATTATCCTTAATAATCAATTTATATAAAATTTCAAGTAAATCTAAATTAGTTTTATAAAATTTCATTTTATTACACAAAAGAAAAATTTTAGCTTGTAATACTATGAAATGGCTTGCTTAGTTGGAGATTAAAAATCTCGCATACCAAATCAAATAACATCTTGATATTCTTTAGTTTTAACTTAAAAACGTGAAAAAATAGAACTGACCTTGTCAACTCTGCGATACCCGTACGAATTGGTTATCCTATGTGCGAATAAATAAGCCATAACTGACTATGGAACAGACAATGACTTTAAGTTGCCGTATTACTATATTAATTTATGCAAAATTTCAGTATTGTGTTTTTCAAAATACTGTGTGCCAAACTACTACGGTAGTTGTACGGCAGCTACCAGAAACAGCCAAGATATTTTAACGAATTTTTTCAAGCACATCGGCCCTGCTAATATATTCGCTTGTGTAAAATATCAATATTACAGCTTTTATAGTTTCAGAGATATAGTCAAATAACTTTTGAAGTTGTATGGCAGGTACCAGAAGAAGCCAAGTAATTTCAACGACTTTCATCAGACATATTGGACCTACTACTATATACGCTTGTGTAAAATATCAATATTACAGCTTTTACAGTTTCAGAGATATAGTCAAATAACTTTTGAAGTTGTATGGCAGGTACCAGAAGGAGCCAAGTAATTTCAACGACTTACATCAGACACATTGATCCTACTAATATATTTGTTTGTGTCAAATTTCAATACAATAGCTTTTATAGTTTCTGAGATATAGTCAAATAATTTTTGAAGTTGTATGGCAGGTGCCAGAAGGAGCCAAATAATTTCAGCGACTTTCATCAGACATATTGGCCCTACTACTATATACGCTTGTGTAAAATATCAATATTATAGCTTTTATAGTTTCTGAGATATAGTCAAATAACTTTTGAAGTTGTATGGCAGGTACCAGAAGAAGCCCATTAATTTCAACGACTTTCATTAAATATATTGGCCCTACTAATATATTCGCTTGTGTAAAATATCAATATTACAGCTTTTATAGTTTCAGAGATATAGTCAAATAACTTTTGAAGTTGTATGGCAGGTACCAGAAGGAGCCCATTAATTTTAACGACTTTCATTAAATATATTGGCCCTACTAATATATTCGCTTGTGTAAAATATCAATATTACAGCTTTTATAGTTTCAGAGATATAGTCAAATAACTTTTGAAGTTGTATGGCGGGTACCAGAAGGAGCCAATTAATTTCAACGATTTACATCAGACATATTGGCCCTACTAATATATTTGTTTGTGTGAAATTTCAATACAATAGCTTTTATAGTTTCTGAGATATAGTCAAATAACTTTTGAAGTTGTATGGCGGGTACCAGAAGGATCCAATTAATTTCAACGATTTACATCAGACATATTGGCCCTACTAATATATTTGTTTGTGTGAAATTTCAATACAATAGCTTTTATAGTTTCTGAGATATAGTCAAATAACTTTTGAAGTTGTATGGCAGGTACCAGAAGGATCCAAGTAATTTCAACGACTTTCATCAGACATATTGGACCTACTACTATATGCGCTTGTGTAAAATATCAATATTACGGCTTTTACAATTTCAGAGATATAGTCAAATAACTTTTGAAGTTGTATGGCAGGTGCCAGAAGGAGCCAAATAATTTCAGCGACTTTCATCAGACATATTGCACCTACTACTATATACGCTTGTGTAAAATATCAATATTATAGCTTTTACAGCTTCAGAGATATAGTCAAATAACTTTTGAAGTTGTATGGCACGTACCAGAAGGAGCCAATTAATTTCAACGACTTTCATCAGACATATTGGCCCTACTAATATATTTGCTTGTGTAAAATATCAATGTTACAGCTTTTATAGTTTCTGAGATATAGTCAAATAACTTTTGAAGTTGTATGGCAGGTACCAGAAGGAGCCAATTAATTTCAACGACTTTCATCAGACATATTGGCCCTACTAATATATTTGTTTGTGTGAAATTTCAATA